CTAAAACACTGTTATTTTTTTAACTTCGAATGTAATGAAGTACATAAAATGTAGAACTTTAGGACTTTTTTACGGAATAACGTCAAAATAACATGCGTAAAAAGCAACTTAATTTAAAGGCAACTTGACAAATGAACGCTCTGCAGAAAAGGAAATGCCTGCCAGAGGGTCTTTATGGAAAACTGGCTCCAATTTAGCTGTTACTAATGTGAGGAAAATATGTAAAACTCTACGCTGGCAGCCGTTGGTAAGGCGCGAACCCAAAACTGCTTGTGTATATTCTGTACACAAACACTCGCTGCATAAATGTTAAATGTAAAAAACACGACTTTTCACCCGCTCAACAGGATGGCCACGATTTTTTTCAGATTTTCTTGGCCAAAGTTAAACCTAAATGGAAACAAGATTCCTATAAAAAATTTCGGGAGTTTTTCCCTTGTCACAGAGTTGGCGAATACAGATAGACCGAAATAGAAACACAAACCAAATGACGAAATTTATTAAGCTATATTTCTATACTTTTTTTAACTTTTAATTTTAATGTACTTAAATTAATGTACTCGTTTAGATTGCGTATTAATTTTTAATAAAAACTGATATATGATTCAAAAATAAAATTGACGTTCGGTACTCGAATGATGTCATTACTAAGTGCGATTTATAAAATTAATAGAAGTATAAATTACAAACTGAAATTATAAAAAATGTTGTTATCTTTTTATATATCTAAAGTTGTATCTCGGCATTCCATCACCACGGAAGCAGGACCCAGACATCTACACACTCAATTCTACTTGGAGTGTGAAAACGAATAGAATGGCTTTAATATACATACAGACAAGTCTACGTCTAACGATGGAATTGAATGTTTTTTCGTGGTAGCGGATAAGAAAAGAATATATATAATAAAAGCATTTATAAGCTTTACAGCCATTGCACTATCAATTAGACCGAATCGCACGATATATTTGAAGACCTTTGAATTTGTCCACTCTCATCGTCAACCCTAATAAGCAGAATCATAAAAATAATTTCGGACAGTTAGGTCGCACTCCATCGATTGAGAAAATAATGGGGAAAATCTAAAACCCCCTGTTATCAATGAGTCTGTTCAAATATCAGTAAAGAATCAAGTATTTAATTTTATTGGGTAAGAGGATATTCCAACAATATCTGGGATAACAGAGCTGATTTCTATGCAAAGAGAGCGCCCAGTAAAACCGTAAATTATGCTTACACTGCAATACCACCGTTTTGAATCGAAAACTGGCTGAAAATAGATTCAATCAAAATATGGCAGGCAGAGTGGGATTCCAGCAACACCGAAAGGCTGACACGTATGTTTCTTCCGAACGTTCTCGTCAGCAAGAACATAAAGCATTGTACTGGCAACTTCCACCTATCTCAGATGATTACGAGAAATCCATGCTTAAACTCATACCTCAAAAGGTTCCTTTACATCAGCGATAGTAAGTGCTCCTATCAAAATCAGGAGGCCGCGACGTCGTTGCATATCATATTTCATCGCACAAAATTCGAAGATTTATAGATGTAACTAATTACTACAATTATAAAAGAAAGACATCATGGCCATGTCATCCAGACTATCTACTAATAAATCACATCTACAAGGTTACGATAAACTTTGTTAAAACCCCAAAGAATTCCCACATCCGGACTTCTTGAAACTACCACTAACATCGAGGAAACCTTCGTTCCCACATAAACTGCAATAATAAAGTAATCAATGTTAGTTAAGCATACACTGAGGTATTTGTTGTTTCTCTTTCTGAGTATACAAGCATTATTTGTCTAATAGTAGTTCTTAGTGTACACCCTCTGATAATATTTACCCCTGTGCGGAACTTAACTTTCTTTCAAGATATTCATTCCGATGATAGTGTGTTTTTTGTTAGCGTCTACGCAATTATTGGCGATGTCTAAATTTGTTCTCTGGGAAAACGGATTTGCTATTAATTGTTGTTTGACTTGCTTTAAAAAGGGGTCTTTTAGTTGTTGTTCTTTTATTTCGGCTTTTTAAGCAACACTTGCATAGATTTAACCTTGAGGACAAACCACGATGCGATTGTGGTATTCAGGAGGATCAAACACCACTTCACCTAGTTTTTCTATACAATAGTTACAGTCACATTAGGGATAATTTAATGAGAGCTGCAATTCTTGAAGGGTACAACTGGCCTCGCAACCCGCGCCATCTTATTCAAACGCGTGCAATGTTCCATCATCTACTCGCATTCATATCCCTTAGTGTGGTTCTTGGAGCACTCTATCTGAAAGCACAGATGGCAATTAGCTTTCCCTTGCTTTGTTTCAACTGTCAGTATATAGTTGCTTTCAACTTTGTATTTTAATTCTTATTTTCCGTCCTCTTTTCGTTTTAAATTTGGTTGGTTTAAGTTAACCCTACTTATAGGTTAGCGTAACTAAATATATGACTGAATAAATGTAACGAGAAGCTCGACATTCTTCCCCTTTTTCCCTTTAACCTTTTCTCTCTCCTCCTCCGTCTATTTTCTGCTGCTTTTTCCTTCCCTCCCCATCGGCTGTATACCACTGAGTGCAGCCAATGTATGTTACCCTAGCTACAGATATGTAGTACATAACAAGAAAAAGTATTTGGAATTCTGTGTCACTGTGGGCGTGAGTTAAAGTCTACTTCGTCTACTATTATCTCAGCATGAGGTTATTGTTTTTTAATTTGGGACGGTTGCTTGTGTGTAAAACGCATAGATACTATTACATTTTAGTAGTTAAAAGCGAAGGGATGAAGAGGTAGTAATCACGTGTCTTATCAGCATATTGTTCAAACTTGATGAAGATTTTATTCGTCATTAACATTTATAATTTTTATACAACTCATCAATATCGTTGACATTAATCATTTTGGCATTTTATAATAATCAATAATGTAAAAATTTTCTATAACAAATACGCCTACAAGATAAAGCAAAGTAAACGAAACCATAAAAAATTTAAGTGAATGCCTACAGCTACAACCCCTTCCACCACGAAACAGAATTTTAACCAACTACTTCCTAGAATATACTATATACCACCGACATTAGATGGTGCCACCATTTAATGGCGGTGGTATCAATGGTGCTGCCAAAGCTGTCAAAGAGAATTTGCGTAAAGGAATTGTTAAAAATTGACGAATAACAACAATTTGTCGTGAATTTCCATCAATTCTTAGTGTATCACAGACGGTTGATTGGCACAAGCCCCGTGAACANTGTTTTTTAATTTGGGACGGTTGCTTGTGTGTAAAACGCATAGATACTATTACATTTTAGTAGTTAAAAGCGAAGGGATGAAGAGGTAGTAATCACGTGTCTTATCAGCATATTGTTCAAACTTGATGAAGATTTTATTCGTCATTAACATTTATAATTTTTATACAACTCATCAATATCGTTGACATTAATCATTTTGGCATTTTATAATAATCAATAATGTAAAAATTTTCTATAACAAAAACGCCTACAAGATAAAGCAAAGTAAACGAAACCATAAAAAATTTAAGTGAATGCCTACAGCTACAACCCCTTCCACCACGAAACAGAATTTTAACCAACTACTTCCTAGAATATACTATATACCACCGACATTAGATGGTGCCACCATTTAATGGCGGTGGTATCAATGGTGCTGCCAAAGCTGTCAAAGAGAATTTGCGTAAAGGAATTGTTAAAAATTGACGAATAACAACAATTTGTCGTGAATTTCCATCAATTCTTAGTGTATCACAGACGGTTGATTGGCACAAGCCCAGTGAACAAGCATTTCGAAAGCTAGCAGCTAGTAAAGGAAACGTAAAGAAACTAAAGGATTTGATGGGAAAAATCATAGATATATTCGATCTACAAGCTTAGTGGACGCGCTAAACCGGGTCCCCTCTTCTTAGGGAAAAGAACCCCGCTGACCGTCTTTTACGTTTGTTGAGTAAAGTGAGCTATTAGTTTTGTGGATTAAGTTCAGAACAGGCTGCACAATATAAAAGTTATACCAAGTTAGAGGGCTGGACCGGAGTACAGATGGGAGCCCGTAAGATGTGTCATATGGTCAAGCTATGTCCTCTCTGTCTACCTTGTCAGGTATCCGACCTGCTTATGTTTAAAGCATAGTCTCTATAACCCTGTAGTGCCATTAGGCGGGGCAGGGAAAGATTTGCTTTAAGAAACTGTATCACATACGCGCATTGTTAAAACACTTCAAAGGATTAAAATAATCGTAAAACATACTGATGATTCTAAATCAGTTACAGTTAGCGACTAAGGAGAGTTGGGTAGGAGTAACGTAAGTAACCTACATGACTTATCTCTATTGCATATTGGAGGTGTATATGAATACGAATGAATCGTACAAGAAAACAAAAAAAAAGTAGGTAAACAGGTTGCGCACGTTATCCCCCGCTTAAAATTAATAGTTTGTCCGGACGGTGTTTATTTCAATCGGTCCGAATCGTAGGTGCGCCGAAAATATGAAATCAAATGGTTCAAATTTTTACAAGATATTGTTATTTATTGTGAAATTTTGCCGCCTCTTAAAAGTGCCGCCCGGGGCGGGCCGCCACAGCTTTAATTAATTACAGTTGTCACGCAATTAGAAACATTACATTTGCCAAGCAAACACTTTGTCCTTGAATAGTGAAATAAAAAGTTATATTTTAGAAATTATAAAAACGATGTCTATAATTTTTCTTTTAATATATAAACGAAAATCGAGTCACTTTAACACCGGGAATAATTAGAACACCTAAAAATTATTTGGTATTCGTATTATAAACAATAAATAATTTTTGAATAAGTTTCAGGAAAGTAGTTATTATTGATGAGTCAGTTTTTGTAACAAGGAAAATATATTTTTGTGACGTGAGTAAATGCAAAGAGACTTACAAGTTGTTCATCGACACAGAGAAAGCTCCGAAAATGCAGTACGAAAGGTTTCTTAATTTCATCTTACTCTTGACGATATTGTTGTGTTACGCGAAATGCAACCATACAAATCTCGAGGACAGCGATGATGATTTCCGACAAACGTCGATGATGTTAGAAAATGCGGAGATGAAAATCAAAACCGCTTTGAAGTCTGTCTTAAAGCCGAGTCTTCCTTATCTGATGAGAATTTTCGAAGAAGTGAACGTATCTTCACCTTGCACGAAGTCTTCCGTTATCTTCCTGAAAGACTTGATGAAACTAAAAGAGTGGCCTCTTCGAAGTAAGTAATCTTTACTGTATGAAATAATTAGAACTTAAGCTAGGATTTCTATACACATGTATTCCTCGTATAACGCGGAGGAATGTTCCTTAAAAATCGGCTTCGAGAGTTTGAGATCGTGGAGATTTACAAAAGTCACGGAGAAATTTCTCACGATATAATTACTTTATTTTATTATGACAGACAAAAATGCAGTCATGAAATTCTACCTTTTTTGTGATGACACTGGTGAAGGGAAAGTTGAAAAGTGGCAGCGTTAATTACGTTATATCCTGGCTGTTTTAACATAATGCATAACTGTATCATGTTATAACCAAGGATAGATTTTAAAAGATCAAAGAATGGTGCAAAGAAGTAATATTAAGAATATATCTTGAGTAAAATTGTATATTTAATTGAACTAAAAATGTATTAATTTTTGTTTTAAAATTAAAATATGTAAGCTAAATGCAATATGTTAAAATATACGTAATTCATTAAGAGTTATTATTATTACCTAATCATTTACTTTAATATTTACCAGGTTAAAAGTAGTTCATTTAATTAAATTAAACAAACCGAATTTATTTTTTATAATATATTACTGTATTTAATAAATTGAATATGTGAAATATTCATTAACATCATTTTTTTAAATTGTGACCGAAGGTCGGCACCCGTTTGCATATTTACATTTAGATATAGATATACATAGGATAACGCATAGCATTTCCATTATAGCTTGTATATAGCGTATTGAGTTGATAGGGCTTTACATACCGTAAGATATTTAATGCATTTTCTATACGGCGGAATAAGTAAAATCGAAATCGGACCTGAATCGTGAGAAAGAGTTTACATTTCTTTATACGACGATAAATCCCTTGACAAACTTGATTAATAAGTCGAAATTGAGGACGGACTATCGTGGATCACTCGATAAACGGGTCAAGAGATTCGAGTTTGTCGGGTCGGGCCAAGTAGTGTTCTTATCTGGTATAGTTCGAACGTTTGGTACAAAACAGCTAAGCTCCTGCGAACGGCGGCGGAGGAAAGGATCGGCGTTGGGTAAGCAAACTCGAATATTTTTTTAAAGGAAGTGGATCGGCGAAATCTCATTGTCGTCCTCGATGCTATTCTTTTATTTCGAGGGTCGTTACCCTTGAATTTGATGCCTTATTTAGGCAATTAATTAACTTTTTCGACCACTAGATGAATTTTGGTCGAAAGTTCATAGTGACACACAATAATTAAATGTCTCACACAGTAATTAAATGTACCTCAATAATACAAATGATGTTAAAACGTCCTAATGAATCACATAAAAACTCACCTGAATTCTTACTTCTGAATGTTGCAGTAAAATCCGTGTATACCGAAATCTCACGGTTCGAATATATTTTTTTTTTTTTTATTTGGCAGGTTTACTGTTTAAACGGGTTCATTTTAAAATAGAAAGTCTCGAAGAATTTTTTTAAGCAGGTTCAGTTTTGGTCAGGCATATTTTTTTATCGCGAGATTTTGCTCCAACTGATGCTAGTTTCGAGAGTGACAAAGCGCCAAGTACCAGCAAAAATATATTCGAAATTATTGTGTCACATTATATCAGTTTGTCTCTTAATCGCTCGTTTGGTTTTTAAAAAAATTATTATTTTTCAAGTGGACTATGACAATATTGTATGATTTAAATGCTTCTTTATGTTATGAAAAATGATAGGAGTGCAATTTAGTTTTTTACTTTCTGGCTGTTATAAATAAAGAGGATAAGTACTGCGATTTGTCACAAAATGTCCCTGAATTAATTTTTGGACACAAAGAACCATGAAACGTTGAAAGATGGACAAAGAAAACACAGAGGATGTTCATATACAGGAATTCCTCGTTAATTCGAAGTCGCGATTATTTCGTCTTTTAGATTTCAATATGCCTCCTACACTTTTAATGTCTGGCAGGTGAAGTTACCAACTCATATTTTTAAACCAATTTATAAGAAAATATCCAATTTATGGAATAATTATTTTTGGAAGTTTAACTGAAATTTTTCTTTATTATTATACAAATTATTAAATAACATCTGATCGTAAAATAATAATATAACGTGCAGAAAAAAATACGGGTTTAAAGAAAAAAAGCATTTTACATAAGCATCAACAGTGAGTCACTCTCTACAACACACCTAGTCTATCCCTAAAGCGTGCATTCCATTTTTTCGTTGTATAGAAATTAATTACTTTAATACATAATGGGCCTCATTTATATAGCTTTAAAATGAGATGATTAAGCCTAATTTCTTATTAACTCTTAATGTGAGTTCGCTGAGTTGACGGAGATTGGAAACTTAACATCCCACTTCTCTCACCAGTGTAAGTTTTCCGACTCTTCGGGGATCGTTAATCCCGCATCGGGATGATCTAGGGTGGTTCGCGTGTGGGTGTGGAGGAGGAGACAGAGATGACAAGTATCTTACAAAAATCCGTTTATTTTAGCATAAAATTAGATTTATAGTAGGAAAGATTCGTTCCCAGTGTGTTGACACAGCCTTCCGATTTTCACTCCTTTGTGTTGACTCGCAGAATTCGTCTTGCCGAGTGCCTCGTGTCTTTGAAGATCGGGGATTACATCGATCTCCGTTCTCCGCTTTTTGTCTATCTTCATTAGCTCCACGTTTGTCCCTAAGCGAAATACGAGACCTGTTCGGGTCCGGAGAAGATTCGCATGGGAGAATTTACCCGACACTATCCATTAACTTTGGATGGAAGGGGTAGATGGGACTTTGAACTTGAGCTCATTTTACTCTATTGTTATCTAGCCTATTACGTTTCGAAATTCTAACGATTTGAACTGATGTTTAATCTTTTTATTAACCTTCTTCCTTGTCTAAAACTTTCTATGTTCTAATTGTTTGTATACGAGCGCCTTGTTAAAGGTCTCTTTCTACTGGAGGACACTCGTTTACATTTATTTCGTCACGTCTTACATTAATAGTATTTTCATCTCGTCTCGGTATCATGTGACAACTGAATTGTATCTTTGATCGGTTTTTATCAATAAAGGTTCTTTTACTTCTATGGTTTTGTTTAATAAATTTCTAATATAAATGTTTAATTAAACCTTGTTTTTTGGGACCTCACATTAATAATTTATGCGCTGTATACATTCTGAACAAATCCACATTATTTAGGTATTCCATACACTTACTACACTAATTTTATCGACTCGTTTGATTTACAATAACCTTGACCCTCGATATATGCGGTTTCGATCAATGCCGATTCGGTTAATGCGCATCGTTTGCAGGTAGGTTGAACGTTATCCCTTTGACACGGGGTTACGAGTGAATATGAAACTTAGAGTTTTCGCGCAGTAACCTTATTTAGTATGTTTATATTCATATTAAGTGTAGTTTCTGTTTTAATTCTTTAACTTTTACTGAAAACTGTAGAGGCAGCGACAATGAGGGTCACGCTGAATAAATATTTTACGACGTTTATAAAATTTTTTTTCTGTTGTTGTACTATACCAGGGGTCGGCAACCTTTTGAGTCGGAACAGCCAAAATTACAATTTACAAAATTTCAAAGTTTTTAAAGAGCCACAAAATTTTTTCTTGCATAAATAGTACTCGCATAAATAAAGTTTTTTGATTAAAAAAAACTAATCTGTTTATTCATATATAAATAGTGTTTTTCACAACAAATTTTTTATAAAATAAATATTTGCGTATGGAACTAAAGAGCCGCAGCTTCACATCCAAAGAGCCGAATGTGGCTCGCGAGCCGCAGGTTGCCGACCCCTGTACTATACCGGTCGTATGTGTACAAAATAAGGAAAAGTTTTGGAATCCTGTCAAATTTCATCTTTCGTGTTGTTTTTCAAATCTTCACGTCTTGAGACCCGCCGAACCCAAAAATATGTATGAATGAGTGCGTTTGTTGACGTGTACAGGCCGTAAAAAATTTATAAACTCAAATCAATTTTTTCTCTGTTTTAATATCTTTTCATCCACAGTCAATTGTTGTTATATTAGATAATTTTAATTAGTGAAGAATGTATAATGAAATCAACAATTGTATCTTGTTAATAAACAATAAAAAATTTGAACTGTTACAGTTTTTTGTTGTAAACAATTTATAAACTCAGGGATGATTTAGTAGGTTTTTAATTCTTTGTGGACCCTCCCTTGTTATCAATTACTTTCACAACTTGTTTAGGCATTAAATCAAGCAGGTTTTGAATGTCACTTAGTTTAATTTTGTCTTACGCATTACACAATGCAACTTTAAGCTCATCGGATGTTCTGTATTGTTTTCCACGGCAATAAACTAATGCCACAAGTTGACTCCAATGGTTTTCAATGGGATTAAGGTCTGGACAATGTGCAGGTCAAACCATCGCTTCAATTTTTTCACGTGAAAACCACTTTGTAGTACTGGTTGACTTGTGAACAGATGCATTGTCATGTTGATAGATTTAGTCTTGACTACTAATGAAAGGACCAAATGGGATTAGATGTTCATATAACATAGCTTGTTACATCTCAGAATTCATTCACCCATTAATAAATGCCAAATCTGTTTCCCTTTATATCCGATTGCTGCCCAGATCATTACTGAACCTCCACCTTGTTGTCTACTGAATTTTACCCTGGGATTCTTTCTTGTATCTTGCCAATAATATGCTTGCCCATCCGGGCCATCCAAGTTAAACTTTTTCTTATCTGAGAGAACTATGTGTGTGTGTGTGAATTACCTGCCTCTCGTCGCCACCGTCTTCGAAAAACTTTACAATTCTGATTTTGATTACGACTTCGGACTGAATTACGAACCCGGGAAAAACGAGTATTTGGATCAACTAGACATCAACGTCTATAACTAGAAGTATTTATTCGACTCGCGTTGATATGTATAAGCTCTCTCTCGAATATTTCCAACTCGCGATTAGGGTCGCGACTAACATATATTTTGTCCGCTATTCAAGACCGTAATCTATGAATTATATAGATGGAAAGTCCCTAGAGAGATCTGTACCGTCGATTCCTTAATTAATTATCTATGTAAAATTTTTCAACAATAAACGGGTATAGTGTTAATGAACTTGGATTGGTGTGCGTTTCTTCAGGCATTATCACATCCATACTGAATCTGATGTCCTCGACGAAATCTCTCGTGATAATTTGTCCTCAATTAAACGCGTATCTATCCGCTAAGAAATTGATAAATTGGTGTCAGATCCTGACGGAGGATAGGATGTAACTATCCTATCCCCTAACCCCTTAATACCATTCTTTAGACAAGCGGGACCGGACCTCAAGGTCTCGAGTCAATTAAGTGGTAGTTGAATCAATAACTTTAAACATCCTACCCCGATTAGTCTCACATAGCAACAATTGACTGCAGAATCCGCAGTCAATTCTTTTCTCTTTTTCCCGGTCAAATTTTCGTTCTTTCCAGTCGAATTTAAATGTACAAACATTTATTTCTGGTTGGTTTTTAGCACCGCATTTGGAATTTCGCGTATGCGCTATTTTTCGGGCAGAGATTAACCGCATGTATCGAAGGTTTTCTGTACTGCGAGTCTCCACGAAAAAATGTAATTGTTTTCTGTTTCGATTTGTTTTTTTGAAAACATGATACACATAAAGATAACTTTAATTAATTAATTGTATGCATTTACTATTTCCAGTGATTGATTCTTTTGGAAAATTACCGGCAGGAATGTTCGGAGTAACACTATGGATGTCGGGAGATTATGACCAGTGTTTGGACATTAAAATTCCACAAAATGAAAAAGTGATCACCGATAAAGGAAAGGAACAGGTTCGAGGCAAATACTGTGCCCTGACAATTGGAATGCAAGAATTAGAGAAACGTGTTGCAAAGTCGATTCATAAGTTGGAAAATAATTCATTGATTAAACTTATAAAAGAGATTATTGTAAGTATTAAAGTTTAAAAAAAAATTTGCGATGGATTAATACACTTTAGTGTAATTTGTCAGTTAAATTTATTTAGACAACGAATTAATGAATTTTTTAGAAACCAATGAAGTTTGAAGACTTATTGAAAACAGAGTTAGCCGATACAAAAATGAAAATACGTTTGGATGCGTGCATTCCGAGTACATGTAGTAACAAAGACTTACAACACATTGGAAATTGGAGTAAGTCGTTTTATATTTTGTAATTATATGAAATTCTTTTGTAAATCCGAATACGTTTTAATCAACTGTACGTAGGAACTTAATTCATTCTATTATACAGAGCCGAAACAACACATAATTACTCTAATAAAGCATAATATCTTTGTAAAATTAATACAGTACTTATATATAGTATGTATTTTAACGTCGATTTAGATATGTAATTCAGCATAAACAATTTTTTAAATTACTACTCAGTAATTTGTAAACACTTTACCATAAATAGTTCGGATAAGCAAGAGTCGATTGTTTAATATATTGATAAAAAAAGGAGACTATTTTTATGCTATGTTTTATGAGAAAATAGTAACCGTAATGCGTGAAGTGCCCATCAATAACAGATTCTGTTAATAATTTGTAAAAAATGTTTCAGATGTGTTTAAAGAAAAAAGTTTTGATTAAAATTCCTCCCATTGTAGGAAGAAACCATATTGGTAGATCGACTTTTCTTACTAAAAATACTTTTTTTTTTAGTTAAATTTAATTTTAAAAGAAATGCATTTGAACATCATTTTTTCTGATAAATTAAAAACAAAATAAGCGATAAATTAAACAGTTACTTTGGAAAATTAATTTATGTAATTGTTTAAATGTTTAATTACGTTTTTTATTTTATTTTTCAGTATTCGGGACAGCGGTAGACTTTAATGTCGAATATTGCAAAATCAAAGATGAACGCATTGAATACACTAACGGACAACTGATATCGTTGTAAGTATATTTTCATTGAAGTAATAAAACATCCTTACTACACCCGATACGTTTAAAGCTTTACACCAACCAAAGCCGATTTATCGGGCTAGAAACGGCTATAATACTAATAATTTAATAAAAATTATGGATTATGAAAATGATAATTACGGATTATGAAAATGACTTAAAATCACTTAAGGCAAATTAACGATGCAATAGAAAATTTAAATAGATAATAAACTTTTTGTGAAAAACGCGATAATAAATTGATTAAAGACCATTTTAATGAATAATTTACGACAAAAATAAATTCAACAAGGAAAATAGCAAATCGAATCTATTTTGTTCTGAAGCACATTACATGATATTGAAAAGAAATTTATTTTCTATTTGAATGCGCATCGTTTATCTCGATTTCTGTGCTTTAACTACTTTAGTTTAAATTATCAACCGTTTTTGTTCTGCTTTATGTGTTCTGCTTTTTACTGTAATCGAATATTCCATTATCGGTCGACCTGTAAACCCTATCTTTTTTTTAATCATTCACTCAATCGCTGAATAAAATAAGCGATAATTTATTGTCTGTTCTTTCAATTGAATCTTTTTTTACTTGACTCGGAACTGTCTGGTATGACACCGCAAAATATACGTAGAAACAGTCACGAAACAACTGCCACATTAGACTTTACACATAACAAAATTGAAAAAATTAGAGTAATTTTTGCCAGAGCAACATATTAATATGTTCGTATTTTGGAGAAATTCTTTCGTAAAATTATTGGATTTTTCTTGTTTATTCTGCATATGATATTTTATTTCTTGCTAAGCCATAGATTGAAGGTAAAAGTCTCTTAGACGGTATTTGCGATAAATGTTCCCGTTGCTGCAATTAGTCCATTGATTTTTCGACTAGAACACTCGTGTAAAATTAATCCTCAAATAGTTGCAAATTGTTTATGAAATAGAGATTCGAATATGTTCGTTTGTGAAATCTCTCGAATAAATTATGCCAAAAAGCGAGGAAATGGAAAATCTCACACCTCTTACCAATTTGTTATCGACACGGGTTCAACACAGATTATCGTTGAAGATAAAACAAAATTATAAAAGAAGTGTTACAATACAGTTTTGATCGCATTACAACTGTCCTAATATTGCTGTAATCGATTTCCTAGGATTATTTACTCTTACTACATATTTGGCTGTCGTTGAATCTTTGAAATCATCAATCTTACTGTCAAATTCGGCGCAACACCTGATCTCCGATTTGATTATAAATGTTTACAAAATTTTTAGATATACACAACATATTTAAAACAAATAGTAAATAAATATTATTAAAATATCCAACTTTATTGAAATATATAATTTAAATATTAATTTTAAATCGCTATACAAATTTATGAAATTACAAAAATAGATTTAAATTAATTAAAACTATTGCAGAATATATTTAGTAATAAAAACGAATAATAGAAAGTTTTCCTCCGGTCTTCGATGTACAGCAGTGATTGCGTGTTATACTTTACAGAAAAGTGAACACATATATAAAATTTGAATTAATTAATTAACTTTTAAAATAAGAATTAAAGTGATTAACGTTAATGAGCTATAGAATATATCAAATTAAAAGAAATATTTTATAATTTATTTAATAAACAAAGAATCTCTTGTTTGGTTGAATAGTCGTAAATACATTAAAAGGTGTCAATTGCGGGAATAAAGTAAAATAAAAACGTTTCAAAACAGATAAATTATTCGATACTTTTTTTGCGACTTACTCGAGTTTCATTCTAGGTTTTCATATTACTGAAAGACAAAGAATTGTATAAGACTGTATAAAAATAAAACATAGAAATAAAAGTTGTATTGATATATACGACAATTTCGAACAGTTTTAAATCTTAGTTGTATGTCTTTGAAGCGGAATTTTTCGTTATACCTTTTCGATAATGTTAATGCGACAGGCAGGTAAACTTCCTCTCAACTGACAACAGAATATTGCTTGAAAATTGCACAGAAAACATATTTAAAAATAAACATTTAGCAAAACATTAATTGTGTGAGTACTATGATCTGGAAATAGCAATCTGGTATCAACGTTCTTTATTATTGACTAACAAAAATTTCTAAAGACAGACAATAGTTAGTATGTGCGTGTGTTCATTGACACCGAAACTGTTAGAGTTAGAATGCGATGATAATCCGTTAATTAGACATAGAGAGAGAATGAAGTCTCTCAAGTTTTTTCGATAGGTCTTCCAGGTTTACAGTTAATATAGAAAAGTACAGTCCTTTTTAATCTTAATTGTCTCACTTTTGATGTTCATTGCGGGCCACATCTAGAGGTCAACGAGTAATTTCATTACGACAGGAGAGTTGTATCCTTGCTTGTCCAATGTCATGGTCAACATCGAACATCTGCGAGTTTTCTTCCGCTCTTCGATCTATAGCGGATAATGTCGTTTTGTATCCTAAGATTCAGTATTTTCTAGAATATAAATTTATCGGGAAAACCTGAGTAGTACGTTTCTCGACACGACGGATCGATTGGAATGTTCAAAGAGAGAGACGGCGGCACACGTACGGAATAATCTGTTGAATGAGTTACGAAAGATACATTTTTTTAAGGCCTTTTCCCGCTCTGAGAGCACCAAGAGGCCAAGAACTATCAATGAGAAATGTAAAATGTAATTTAATGTTTAATGTGAAGAAGGAGTGAAACGTATACATACTATTTAAGGGAGTGTTGCCTGCAGAGCAAGGGTGCTGTAAAGGTGTTAAGAGAAACCTGCCAACATTGTTGGGGGATGATTGGGATGGAACAGAAACAGTTCAATGAGAATAGCAGAGAAATAATATACTCCTGCAGAACAATTTACTAGTCTTATGATAATGTATTTAGGATAAAAGAACAAAGACCAGAAGAAAGCACAAATACATTTTTTTGCTCTAAATAGAAGGTTCTTTAAAGCGAATTCGAAGAGAATTAATGCCTTAAACAGCAAAAGAAATAAATATATGCGTCTGCTACTAAATTGGGCTATTGGACTACGGAATTGGCTACGGAATTGGGCTATAAACCAGACACAACCAATCACCAGAGAGGCGTGTACAGTGTTTGTTGATACACATGTGAGTGCAAGTAAGCAGGAAAACTTTGGTTATTGAATGCAAAAATGTTTTTAAGAACTGGTGCCTGGATGAAAATCAACCAATGTGACCTATCTATAAATATTTAATAATTAATGCCTACCTTGGGAACCTCTAGGTTAGTTTTTTTTAATAAATGGATTGCACTACAATCACGCTGGACACACATAAATAGAACTTAAAGTCCCAGAATCCTGGTTATTTCTATCAGGTTGCTGGAGGGAGTCAATGTGGTGATTTTGCTGCTGGATGACTTGATTAAAATTTTTCTTGAGCTCCTGGATCAGAAAGCTTACTCCAGCCAGGCTTTCAATGGCTTTGTCTTTAAGTTCTGTCCGCATGTTGCGGGCGGCCTCTATACACTCTTTGACAGTGAATAGTTTGTCTTTTATTCCTTCTTCTAGCTCCATGATGATGTCTTGAGACTTATCCATTCTAACTCTTTAGGTATTAATTTATTGAATTGACTTTAATTTTATTTATATACTATTCCTATTATACTATTCCTACTGTATTATTTTAAAACTTTACTTAACCCAGGCACCAGAATGAATAAAAACAGTTCCTCACAGAAACAGCTACACGTCTTAACAGAACACGCTTTTCACGAAAGAAACATAATGAATCGATGAGACCTCCGAGAACACTTACGTACAAGAAACAAGATATTTTGATAACAGTTCAATAGATATCTGCTAAAGAAGGAATTGGGATATCAAAATACAATTTGTCCTATTGTCACGTGTTTTTCTTGTTAGTCATCTCAACTCGTCGATGTTTTAAGGAAAATTCAGTATTAGTTCATAACTTCGGAAAGATAGTAAGAACGTTCGATTCGACACCAAATTCCGATATTGATAGGACTTAAATATTTGTCTGTCCCCATCATTGTGTATCTTTAAATAGGAATTGTTTAATGATTTTTAGTGATTTAGATCTAGAACTTCTGTGAGATGAATTTTGATAGCGATTCGGACCCAGTCCGGAACTTAAAACTACTCTTCACATTTTCCGAGAAGTGTGGCCTACTCACCTCAAGCAACAACCCTCCAACGACGAACTACCAGGTCAACAACGTCGTCACAAGCCACCAAGCCGCAATGCTTCCTGCTATTAAATTTTACTGTGATATATTGTTCTATATGGATCAACAATGCGATTTCTGTATATATAACTGTCAATCAGCCAAAATGGCACTTTGTACTGTATATTTGTCTCAGAGTTATTTTAATCATTGCGATGTGAGTCAATTATCTTACCTGTTTTCATTTTTCAAAGCTTTCAATTTTCATACTTTACGTAATACCTTCCTCGCTTTCTTTCCTTATTTTCCTACATGGGCTACGTCTCACAACAGCGCTCTTCCTATAAACTAAGCTCAACTAAAGTCCGAAGCTTCACAAGTGAAAAGTCTTTATTAAGCAAGTATTTAACACATTTTTTAAATAATGCAATTTTAACATAGCTCTTAAGTGATTATGAACACAGAAATGTTATTTATATTCTTACATTCAAGCAGATATAAATACAATAATAATTACTTAATTGATTGTTAATTAAATGAAACGAATTATATTTAAGTAAATTGATGTGAAAATATTAATTGCCTTAATTTAGAATTGTTCTCGGCATATTTATTGCATGGGTAGGATTGGCAACGTTAACAGAAATATTAATGAGACTTCATATTATTCCTTTGAAGGCGAGTAAAGGTAAGTCTTTAAGATCATCAAAACATTCTTTTAACATAATTAAGAATGAGAATTTATCTATTATTATTGTAAAGTTAAGGAAAATAATCTTGAATGCTCTTATTTTCGATTCATTCGAGTTCATTATAGTAATTTTAAAATAAATATACTTTT